CAGCAAAGATCGGAGACACTGATGTAGACTTCTTTTTTTTTTAATCCTTATTGACCTTTCTGCTGGCAGAAACTTGAAATTTGGATTGCCATCTACATCCAAGTTCACCTGCGGTCATGTATCTGCTTTCTTCTTGCTTCTGTTTGATTCTCATATTTCATATTTTTGCATATACTATCAATGATGGTTCTTGTTGCAACCATACAGCTGTGTCATATATGGCTCTGCAATTTCTGGAGAGAAAAAAATTTATGTAGCAGTCTCATTGTTCCTAGAAAGTTTTAAGACGTCTATGCAACATAAGCTTTCATTTTTCTTTGCAACAATCAGCAACAGATGCTATACACAGCCTGTATGTTTTTTTTTTTTCTGGGGTTCAACATCTCAAAGCAACTCAGACTGTTAGAAACATGGGACTCCTATGATTTGCCAGTGTTAGTGAACTTTTATAAATGCTTTACAAGAAATATGGCACAAGCAAACGTGTCTGTATGCAGATGCATCATAATGGGTTGCCTGGGGGCTTGTAGAAGCCCTACCACCATTCTTGCCAAAATAAACGGTGGTGGGGCCCTCCACCAGTTTCAACTCGCTGTCTTTTCTCTGCACATTCACTGGGTGATCATTGGATTCATCATGTAGGTTTTTACACACAACATGTACAGTGTAGATCAAAGTGCAGCATATTAGACAATTGCCGTTTTTTCTGGACATGCTAGAAAGTTCGGATTCATTGGCACCACCTTCTGTTCTTCATTAGATTGTATGTGCGTCAATTTTTTGGGTGCTGCAACTATTTGGCATGCTATTTTTTGGGGCTTTCTGCTCATATTGCTGGTTTGAAGTGCCATTAAGGGAAGCCACCATCGCTGCTTCGTTAGTCATTTCGCATGCTGAAGCCAGATTTTTCTCGAGTCCAACCTTTTGTGGCTGTGGCTTAGCCCGAAAGTTAGCTTTGCTGCAATGCTGAAGTGTTAAGGGGGTAAAGCATGTCGAGAAAATGAAGTGGTCACCAGGAAGGCGAAGGGGGTAAAGCATGCCGAGAAAATGAAGTGGTCACCAGGAAGGCGCAGTGCATCAATACTTTACATGTAAGCACCAGAAATGCGCGGAGGTATGATGGCAGCAGGTGGCAACTGTACCAGTACAATTTAATCGCTGAGTAACTTTATTACGATAAACATGTACAGCTAAATGTTTAGTAGGGCATGCGGACAAGTGAAGTTGTAAGTCTACTGCACACATTTAGTCGGCGATAACTGGGAACGCCTTGCGATGCCATTTATTGCTGTATGTTTGTGCAAGATTAAGTGTGCTGCACGGACACGTTATTTTGAGTAACCGAACCAGCTTTCCACTGCCGCATTCATGTGCAGTCAGAAACTGAGTAGGCATGACTAACATTCAAGGTAAACGCATGCATACAGTGTAGCAGGCACTCCGGCTGTAATGATGTGAGCTTCGCTGTTCATGTGTTGCATGTAACTGGGAAGGATTGGCTGGATTCCCTGCAAGTAAGTATTGAACGTAATCACGAGAAGCTGTGCGAGCTGTGAAGTACCCAAAATGTGTATGAGGTGGGCGCCCAGTGCAAGCAGTGCCTTTATTGTTTTTACTGCCCATAGCTAAACAGAAGTAATAGTTAGATAGCAATATCCCGGCTCAAGCAAAGGATTGTGGGCTACAGCGCCCGTCTGCATGGACTTCCGGTTAGAGATGCCGTGCCGTTGTATGGGCATTCTTGGCAGTGCCGTCGCTTTCTGAGTGTTTCACCCAAAATTCGGGGTTCCCTTTTCCCACAAATTGCTGCCTAATACTTTAGAGAGCTATGCAGTTTTGTTTAATAACAAATGCAGTCACTACGAGATAGTTATAATCGTGCGAGCAGTTATTTCTTCATTCAAGTGGCATGCACCTCCAAACACATGCTTGTTGTTTTGCTGCGGAGGGTGTTATACGCATCTTTTGTCACATGCAATGATTTTATGGTTATAATAAGATCACGAAATATCTGTCCATTTGTTTTTATGCTGATTACCCATAAAATTATTCATTTGCTTTTGTGTTACAAAGACACCATCCCGGGTTCGATATAGTCAACTGTTTCTTACTCTGAAAATAAAATGCACTTGTAGTTTAATGGGTTTTTTTTTTAATGCCTTTCCATCTTCCTATAAGTTAGACCTCGTTCCATCACGTACGCTAACGTTGTTTTTCAATATATGCAAAATTCTCCGCACACAACGCATAACACAGCCTATCGGCACTTTATGCTTGCATGTCTGACATAGTAAAGACTCCATACCATGCTACTCGATCGATGCTTCAAAAGCTACTTCGATCGTTTTACGTCCCGCGATACCATTAGAGTGACCGTTTTGTCCCGTGGACATTTTACACGCTCAGAGATTTCCATGAATTTGATATAGTACGCACACTTCTTCTGTTGTCATCGAAGGTATGTGGACATTCGGCAGCATGTGCCCTTAAGTACGTGTGAGTGATTTTGAAGTGGTGATCGTTTGTGCTTGAAAATATTAAGTCGAGGTGGTTCTGGAAGAGATTGCTGCATGAATAAGAAAAAAAACATGATCGCATGCTGCGTTCAAAACCCACCTCTTATCGTTCTTTGCGTTTGCTCATTTCCGATTCCCGCTTCATTCTCTGAAATGCACGAAATATCGAATATTGGTGTGCAAAGAAAAAAAAAATCAGAAGAACATATTCACTAAACAAGGGGCTACAAACGCATCACAGAATTGCACATGTCTTGTTATCTGTTACACTGCGCAGCTGGGACTCTGACGCGGCGAAGGTATATCCCTCAAACTGAAAGTACCGTAGCAGATGACGCACCATTTTACTATCCACCTATTGATTTGGAGGGGAAAACATAATGTGTGTTCTGTCCAAAACAGTATTTTAGCTAGGTGTTGCACTAGGTGTCCCAGCAAACATCAGCCAAACTCTTGAAAAATTTCATATAGAATACGAGTATGAAATGAGTGGTGCTCTGTTGTAAGCTCTGTGCTATCGCCAGGGTGATTTTTGAGTATTGATCTAGCTGTAGGGAAGATTTGGTCACTGGTATTGTCCAAATGGTTAGGTTTTCTGGTAATTGTTATGCATACCTGTCACTGATGCATCAGGTTTGACTGTATAGGGGCATGTGTGGAAAGGGAAAATTTCAGTGGAAGAACCCATTGCTGAATTCATTCCTCCTTCTACAATACGTCTCTGTGGCTTCGTCCTATGGTTTATTTCACTCTGTGATCATCAGTTCGCCTTTTTCTCCTACTTTTGATCTCTTGACTCGTCTTGTAACCACTTCATGCTGAAGCCTGTTACACTTCTGTAGTCTTTCTTTCCCTTTTTGAGCAAGTGTTTCTTGAATGTGCGCTTCATTGGACTAGTGCCTATGGTTGATTCTGAAGGGCTTCAATGAGTAAAGCAGAGAAACCCATTAACATGTACAAGAAAGTCTGAGGAGAGCTGCATAATTTTAACACTTATTTAATGTATCTATCTGTACCTATCTGCGGTGTTTTTTAATGTTACTGTAAAGTAAGAGAAAGTACTACATTAGATGATTCTCTGCACCAATAAAAAAAAGCCCTGACAGGGTTTTCAAAGTCATTGAATACCTTTGAATTTACCTCCTTCAAAGCCGTAGAGACCCTACCGAAGGTATTGCAGAGCCTCGCGGGAGCGTGCATAGCCATACATTGTTTCACAAAGACCACGAATACTTTTAGCAAGTTTTACTGAAATTGGCATTTTAAGACTTTCCAGTAACTGTACACATTTCTTTGCTAGATATCGGCACTTTATGATCTACAAAGAGCTAAATAAACCATAGCACGATATTTGTGAAAGTTTAGTACATGAAAATTTGCCCATACAGACAGCTATAATTTGTCATTTAGTATAATATAACTCTATAACTATATTAGCTACACACAAACTAATTATAGATTTGAAATCTACATGAAAAACTCTCTAAATAGTTGAATTTCCAAGTCTCTAGCACAAATAATAAAAAAAAAAAATTGGTGGGGGGGGAGTGTCTTCCCTTAATGACTTTTGAATTAATTCCTGAGTAACAAGATAGATTAAATAACAAGAATGATAACTAAGTAACAAGAAAAATAACAAAAACCTCTGGAACATAGCTGAAGCTAAATTGTGGTCATTTCAGTGTACCGAAGAAAGCTTGCGCTAAAGAAGAATGCTTGCAAGGGCTTTTAGGCTATCATATATGCAGCGAATTTTCAGATTTTCCATTTGACTGATCGTAATTCTGGCCAAATTGCATGCAATGTGATCATTTTCAGGTGCAGCGCCGATCACATTTGTCCCATAGTAGTAACAGGCGCTGGTTGATTAGCACTCTGCATGACATATGGAAGTGTACTGTTTATAGAAGCTACTTGTGCCCTCAAAACATCAATACACTATGGTGATACTGATGTTATGGTAAGAAGCAGTCACTCAAACACAATGTGGTGGAATGAAACACCAAGGTCAGCTATGAATTGTAGGGTGTCACAGTTACTTGAAAGGAAGACGCACAACTTACTTGGGCATGTTCAAGTGAAAACAGTGCGAGTGTGTCAGTCCTGCTAATCCAGACCAATTTGCTCATGTTTGATTTTTTGATGGTCGTTATGTTTGGTAGTTGTTTTGTGAAATGATCTAGCAATCATGCCAAGCCTTGGTTGTAAGGGTGTCATTGTAGCTTGCAATGCTCGCTCAAGTACAGCAGTTGGTAAACCCTGAGAGTTCTTTATATGGGTGCAGCATATGAGATGCATGAGCACAGTAATTTTGTGAGCAAACCTTCCAGTATTGCACAGAATGTAAATTTGGCAACACCTGACCGTTATCTGACAAAGCATATCCAGCGCAATTTCTGCTGGAATAGCAGTGGGCTTAGATTCTTGTAACTTCGAATCAATGTATCACATTGCATTTAATGATGGGAACTTTGCTATTTGCAGATAATGCTTCAGCTGATTAATGGCCGACTTAGGACCCACACATCTGACGAAGTTATGGAGACTGCTTGGAGCACCATGTGGAATGTCACTGGTACTGTTCTGCTTCTTGTTTTTCCTTTCTAAAGGCATGTTGTATCACTAGACACTGTTGCAGTGATGCTGGAAAGTCGTTAGCTATTTTAGCGAGAAGGAAGAATGTGTCTATAGGAGGTAGTAAAAAAAAAAGTTCCACTTTGCTTTAAGAATAGAACACAGTGTAATCGAGCCCCGTTCGAATCCCCTTCTCAAGTGCCAGCCTGGCATCGCTTCTCAGTGGACACCTCAACCATGCTGCAAGGAAAGAAATGCCTGTCCGAGTAGCACTGACCATTCAAAGCTATCCTAGACTGCCTACTGCAACTAGAGTTGTGAGCTGTGCACTGTGGCATACTTCTTCGGCTTGCGAATTGTCAAACTACAGTAATACCTACAGTAATACATTTCTCGAAAAATCGAGTAAGTCGAAATTTTCCGCGGCACCGAACCTTCTTCATTACGTCCCATGTATTTTTTTCCTTTATCTTGGAGTATTTCTGGATCAGATTTATTTATTTATTTATTCAATACTGCAAACACGAGGTCCAAGCATGGTGGTAATACATACACAAATATAAATAAAATAATTGCGAAACGAAACAATAAAGGACGAAGAAGGTTGTCTGGTAGGGTGATTCATTCATCACATGTATTAGTAAGACAGTTCCATTCACATATGGTTCTTATAAAGTACTAATATTTCAGTAGGCTTGTGCGAGCAAAATATGGGATCAAGGCCTTTGGGTGGTGGTGTCGGGTGGGCTGGTGTTGTGATTGGCGGGCTACCCTTTTTCTGCGGCCGCCAAAACTGAAGAAAGGTAGCCGCCTAACTTTGTGGAGGTAAGGAGCTGCGCCAAGATGCCCTGCTCTTTCCATGTGCTGGACGCTGCATGGTTGAAGTTACTCTACGAAGCACCGCTGTCCTTCGGGTCCGCGCAGAGATGCGACACGTGGCGCCTTCGTGCCCCGGTAAAAGCCACTTCCGCCAATTACGGACGTCAGACCATCACGTTGTGCGTCTGTGACTGATGACACACCGACGCTCAAATCAGCACCAGATGTCCAGGCATGGCCCCTCGGAGGCGCCTAGATCGTGACTGCCGTTCGACAAAGTATGGGTGGTCAGCCCGAGCGGCGAGATTACAGACTCGTTTCACCCCGCTCAAGCAAGATTCGCCGAAGGAGGCAGCATCGCCGGGACCATACACGTGTTTGTGTATTTGTGTATGTGTATGTTAGGGGCAGTGCCAGCATACACTCATGTGTGCAGCGGGACATGTTATTGGACAGTGTCGTATGGACCTATTCCCCGATCTAGGGATCTAAGGAAATGAGACTGTATTTAATCGGCTCTCGCGGGCTGCTTAGGTGGTTCACAGAGCTTGTTCAATAGACAGCCTTTTTTCACTGTAAAGCTTTCATTGCAGAGCTTCGAGCCAGAGAGCTCGTGCCATGTAAATAATGTAAATAAACCCTCTCTACGAAGTTCTACCTCCTCCTGCCTCGACATCTTGATGCCGAATCTCAGGTGCTGCAAATGACGGTCGCAACACCGGCTACTAAGGGGTGTCAAATACGGGGATGGGTCTAGAGCTAGTTTTTTGTTCAAAACTTGATCAAGGAATTCTAGTCTAGCTTTTTGTCTTCGCGTCTGCAGTAAGGGAATGTTTTAGCTAGCATTAAATCTGCGGATATCTCGAAATCTTGAATGGGAGTGGAACGAAAATTCCGCCACCGGGTCATTACACAACATTCGCACGATGCTGCTACGCCTAAAATCCGTCCAATTTTCACTTTTTATTTCTTATTTAGCAGCACCTGCCACTACTTGATACTTTCCGCGAATGTGAAGTCAAAGCCTAGCAGCATATGAACTTTGTCTAGCAACCCTGCAGCATGTCATTTGACTCCCACGCAGCAGGCCTCACTCTTTGCCACTCGCTTGGCATAGTCGCATCGTTTTTCTCCTTCGTTTGGCAGTGCTCGTTGTTTTTATAAGGTGTGACTTCCGTTCATTCTAATCTGCACACATTGCACGCAGTATGGATTTAACGCTGACTTCAAGGAGCGGTGATTTAGCGTGAGTGCGGCAAGCATGGCGTCACAAAAGCAGTGCAAGTCGCTAATGCTTGAAAGGAAGGTTGCCTTAATTAAGGAAGTGGAGAAAGGAGGCTGGTAATGGTGCCGTCGAAAGTGACGTGACTTCTCTCAAGTACGCGCTGTGCGAGAAGGATGTGCTGGTGACCGGAGAAATGACGGACGCCGAAATCGGTCAAATGGGCTCTAACGTAGGGGGCAGCGGAGACGATGCCGATGACAAACCACCTCTAAAGGTGCCGACATCTGCAGAAACAAAAATTTGCTGCGCTTGCTTCAAAATAATGTGGAGTGCAGTGGCAGGGAAGATAGTCTGATGCGATGAGTGAAGTAGCTGGAGAATGCCTTTTTAAGCCCGAGCACGACCGCAAAGCAGACTAGCATTAGCGAGTTTTTCTTCGCTAAATAAAATGGCAGTGCTGCAAAATACAGCTGTCTAACGTCTCTTGTGTGATATATTTTTTTTTTAACTTTCTCGAGAAGAAACATCAGAAACTGCTGTTAAAGAGCCCGTAAGTAGTAGTGATTTTGCTAAAAAGCGTTCCGATTTTTTTCAGCGATTTGCGTAACTTCGCTTATCTCGGAATTGTCCTTGGTTTTTACAACTTCCAGTTACAAGGTATTACTGTACATGCTTTGCGAGTGTAAAGCAACACAAGCACCTATGCAGCTGCTCACTTTTTTATACTTTTGCTGATGATGATGATTAAATGCCTAAGCACTGTGTTATGGGTGTGCCTTTAAGCCACCCACTCGTGCAATTCACATGTTTTGACACCTGGTGCAATAGGTGGATAGCACAAAACTGTGCATCGTCTGCTGCAGTACTTCTGGTTCGAGACCTAGCACTTTGCTGCTTCCAGGTGTGTGCTGTTCAGTGTAATCGGAAAGGGAACATGTACTCTTCTAGAACGCACCTCTTATGGGCTGTCCAGTGTTTCTTTTCTTGAATTCTCTAACGAATGCAAGATTTTGCATTTTACTGAACAAAGCTAGAAGGGAAATGGGGGAACTGTAACAGGTGGTTCTTGAGCTCGGCAAGTGATTGTAGATATACAGTAAGATCTCAACAAATTAGCTTCAATCAGTATTTTCTAGCACAAATTTTAGTCACCTCCGAGTGACTTGCACATATTAGCCCATGGTGCCGAATGTCACTGTTCTATTGTTCCAAGGTAGTTTAAGGATTTTTGACAAAAGTATACATACTTTGTGCGATGAAATGTGCTGATACAGTATACTTGCATTGCATATTTTATATCTAATTGCTATCCAGAAAGCCTAGGTTCAGTTCTGACTTGAATGGAAGGTTTTTATTATTTATTTCTTTATATATTTGCATCTACACTCAGACCTCATTGTAACTAAGTTGCATCTTACAAGAAAATAAGTTTTCTATATCTGAAAATTACTTACAAAGGTTATATCTAACACTGTATCCATTGCAAGACTATCTTTAATTTACTTTAATATAACCCATATTTCATTATATCTGTGTTCATTGTACAGTTAAACTTGCCTATAACGAACCTTTATATAAAAAATTTCTCGATATAACAAAGTTTTTATATTCCCCGTTGTTGCTGCATAGAAAGAAGCATATGTATTTGCGACTTTAGGTAAGAAAGTAACAGTGGGAGACAACCTTGATATAACGAATTTTCCCCACGGACAATCTAGAAATTCAGCTTTGCATTTTGGTACGAGCATGCATCTTCCATGACTGCCCCGCCGCCGACGAAGCCCAAAGTGGCAATGGTGCGCGTGATCCACCAGGCGAGAGCAAGTGCTCGTTATTGCGTGCGGGTGAGCGCAAGGCAAGCAGGCAGGCGGGCCTGCAGGGCCGCCTACATATGGAGGGCGCTTTACCGAATATTTTTTCGCTTTAAACGTGTTCGTGTCGTTCGCTCTTCGTTTTCAATGCTGTGCGCGCGTGCATAGTTTCACTTTGAGTGCATGGTGTAGCCCCCGACGACACACAATGCCACCATTGCATTATTTTTATTGCGATGGCAATTATATGGACAGTATTAGCTGGTTTCTTGCCGTCCCTGTCGCCTTCATACTCCGTATATGTATACGTATCTATATATATGAAAACTCAAAAAAGAAAAAAAAAAGCCACCCGCGCTCGTCGCCCAGCTCGTCACGATGCGCTGACCCGCACTTATTTCACACACATACTTTGCCCCATGATGGGGGGGGGGGGGGGGGGGTTACATGCTTATGCGCGTGCTTATCTTTCGGTGGGGAGAATCGCGCACCTTGGACTGTGACCGACTTAAACCGGAATGATTGCGTTTATATGCCATGCGCACAAAGATCACTTCGCTCGCTGCTTAGGCACCGTTTGCAAAAAGAGGGCACATTTCAAACTCAGGGAAGTAACAGCTAAGGCACTTGTTAGTTCGCACCAGCGTCTTTATTTTTTTCAGTGTCTGGGCGAACGCTCTCCTCCGGCCGTCGATCGCACGCTCTGCCACCGCTTCCCATTGCAGCGCGGTGACACTGTGCAAGTAGACTACGGAAAGCTCACTGGCCGTGCGTACTGCTAATTCTTGGTAAACTGGTGTGTGCAAATATAGACAAATGACATGGAAAAGAAGAGACAGGGACAAGTGCAAACTTTAAACTGAATTTAATTCTTCGTCATCCTTCATATATACAGTCACATAAACATAGTCAAGCGGTCACAAGGTCAGAACGAAACAGCTTACAGCAGGCCGCGCAGAAAATTATGCTCACTATCAAATAATGATATTGACGAATCACTAACACAAGCATTACCTCTTGCAGCAATACAAAATGCTTCCATCAGTTTACGGGCTGTGGTATCAGTGATCCGACCCCAAATCCTAATCTCTGAGAAAATCGGAGAACACATGCAAGCTTTGCGATGCCCGGGCGAATGCATGATCC